ATGATGATTATGATGAATTGTTTATTAGAATGTGTGTATTCCAGCCGAAACAGTTTTTTTTAATCAATTGAATGAAGATAATAATCGATGGAAGGTAAATAAATAGTTTATTTTAAATAAATAATAAATATAGAAAGAGGGAAAGAGAAATAGATATAATAGATAGTTTGTTTGTTTGATTTATTGATTAATTAATTAAATATTTAATATAAAGGTGGTGCCTGTGATGGAAGAGCTTAAACAGAAAGCAAAATCATTAGGACTGTGGAATCTATTCCTTTCCAAAGATTATCGTCAACATCAAAATGGAAATAGAGGTTTAACAACTCTCGAGTATGCAATTATGGCAGAAATCATGGGAAAATCTATACGCATTGCACCAGAAGTAAATAATAAAAATATAGTTAATAAATATTATTAATATGATTATTTTTTTTTTAAAAAAAACTTTTTCAACGAATTGAAATATAGGCTACAAATTGTTCACCACCAGATACAGGTAACATGGAAGTATTTGCAAAGTATGGAACGCCAAATCAAAAAGAGAAATGGTTAAAGCCTTTATTAAATGGTGAGATTAGATCAGCGTTTGCAATGACCGAGAAAGCAATGGCATCATCAGATGCCACAAATATCCAAACATCCATTAAACGAGTTGGCAATGAGTATGTGATTAATGGTCATAAATGGTGGATTTCCGGAGCAGGAGATCCAAGATGTGCTGTATACTTGGTAATGGGAAAATCTGACTTTAGTTCAAGTGATACAAAGAATAATAGACATCAACAACATAGTTTGGTTATTGTGCCAGCCAATACACCTGGTATTAAAATTATTCGACCAATGACTGTGTTTGGATATGATGATGCACCAGAAGGACACTGTGAAATTGTTTTTACTGATGTTAGGGTCCCGGTTGAAAATATCATGTTGGGAGAAGGCAGAGGATTTGAAATTATTCAAGGTAGATTAGGACCTGGTAGGATTCATCATTGGTAAGTATGAAAAATATGTTTACATGAATAATTATAATAAAATGCTTGATTGAAATAACAATCAATTTAACAATATTTATTCTTTTTCTTCCCCCAAATAAAAATAAATTAAAAGTATGAGGTCTATAGGAATGGCAGAACGAGGACTTGAATTGATGTTATTACGAGTAACAGATCCATCACGACGTACATTTGGTAAATTATTAGCAGAACATGGAACCATCGTTTCTGATATAGCAAATGCACGTATGTTAATAGATCAAGCAAGATTTATGGTTTTAAATGCTGCAAATGCTATTGATAAGAAAGGACCAAAAAATGCAAGAAAAGAGATTGGCATGGCAAAGGTAAGAAAAATAATGATAGTTGTGACTTACAAATTTATAATATAAATAAAAATTTAAATATACAAATCATTAAATATAGGTGGTAGCACCAAGTGTATTACTCAAAGTTCTTGATTTATCAATTCAAGCTCACGGAGCAGCAGGTTTAAGTGTAGATTTTCCGCTTGCATACATGTATGCAATAGGACGAACTTTGAGAATTGCTGATGGGCCAGATGAAGTACATATTCAACAAATTGGTAAATTGGAATTGAGAAGATCTTTAGAAATTAAAAAATTTTATGAGGATCGGCCAAAATATAATAATAACAGTGATCCAATGTTGTCGAAGTTATAATGGTATAAATAATATTTATTAATAATTCATAGAATGAATGATATATAGTCCAGTTTCATTCAATTCTAGCGATTATATTCTACATATTTGTATGTATATATATATATTTATTTATATTTATAATTTTATAATTACACAAATAAATATTACAACGAACATTACAACTTTTGTAAAAGAATACCATCTACTACTACTACTACCATTACTACTATTATTATAATTTGCTTCTTCTTGGGAAAGGTTTTTCATAAACATTGGAGAAAAGATAACTTTTTGGAACAGAAATATGATTGTTTAAATTCTTGGAGTCAACAAAGTCAGGACCAATTTCTTTCAAGGATGTTACTCCAGCCAAACGCATAACCATTTCAAATTCTTCTTTTAACAATTTTAATGCTTTTTCAACACCTTCTTGACCATAGGATGACATGGCATACAACATAGGTCTACCAATACCAACAGCTTTTGCACCCAGTGCAATCGCTTTGAAAATATCAGTTCCACGTCTAATACCACCATCAATATAAATTTCAATTTTATCTAATAAATTTTCTTTTTTGAGTGCCAGAACCACTTCAGGTAAAATTTCTATAGCTGACCTGGCAAAATCAAGTTGTCTACCACCATGATTTGATAACACCATGCCAGCACAACCATATTTGGCCGCTAGTACAGCATCTTCAGCTGTTTGTATACCTTTGAGTACAATCGGCATGGTAGTGATTGATTTAAGCCATTCTATATCATTCCAATTTAATGATGCATCGATAAATAATGAAATTGCTTTCGCTGATCCATATCTACTGTTCAAAGTTTTTTCATCAATATTTGGATCCATATATATTGCTCTCATACTTTTCTCCCTGTAGCCTAACTGAGGTGTATCAACATTTATAAATAAAGCTTTACAACCTTTTTCTTCTACTTTTTTAATAATGTTTCTAGAAATAGTTCTATTTTTGTTAATGTACAATTGATAAAATTGCACTTGATCTTTGCCTGTTGCATTTGTCATTTCATCCAGGGAACATGATGCTAGTGTTGCCAACATTTGAATAGAAATAGTTCTATTTTTGTTAATGTACAATTGATAAAATTGCACTTGATCTTTGCCTGTTGCATTTGTCATTTCATCCAGGGAACATGATGCTAGTGTTGCCAACATTTGAATTATCTGATGTTGATAAGCAGCTCTGGTCAAAATAACTTCACCCTCAGGATGAGCCAATTTACCTAATGCAGCTGCTGTAATATAAACAGGAAATGAGGAATGGTGACCAAGTAAAGTTGTACTGGTGTCAATATTCATTACATTTCTCATCACCCTTGGTTTTATCCAGATGCGATGAAACGCATTATGGTTTTCTCGCAAACTAATTTCATCATTGGCACCTGAACTGAAATAAATCCATGACTCAGGTTTCAAAACTTGTTGAGCAACAGCCTCAAAGTCAAATAGGTTCAACATTTCACTTAGATGAGGTTTATTTTGAATTGCCAATTCACGCCTCTTATCCATTTCTGAGTTTTGATTGAAGGTTTTTTCAAGATTTGATGGATCAATGATTCCAACATATGATTCAGGTTTTAGATATTGATCAATTATATCAGGAGGATGGATTGGCTCAAATACTTCGGTTGCATCTTTACCAGCTTGATCAAGAATAACTTTAATACCACCAGGGTGATCGGACAAAAAATTAGTTAAATCATACACTTTGCTATGTATGATTACCCAACAATCTTCACGTTTATTATGTTTTGCAACTTCTTCGGTTGAAATTAAATTCATTCTTTTTCAGTCTTTTTTTTTGAGTTGATGAACTAATCCGTTTCTATTAATGGCGATAATGACTATAATGGGTCATAATAATCTTAATTTGAAAAACAATAAACAGTTTTTATAATGTCTTTTTTCCTACTTTAATAATAATAAAAATAACTACATGCCTCATTTTTATCAAATTCGCACAATTCTCAGTATTCTCGAGACGAGAAAATTGCTCTAGTGAAAAGCATCACATAATCTGCTCTTGAACTCATAATTTGAATCTGGGGAGTTAATGGATGTCATAATTTGCGAATGGCAGCATCATCATACTTTAAGGATTTTAGGTTTCTATACTTCCTCTTCAAGACCTGCAAGAAAATCTCAATGAACAGATTTATAACTCATTTGTATATAAGTAATTGGGTTATTATTCTATCGATGTTCCTTCCTGGACTTGGACTTGCATAATTTTCAAGAAAAATTTTCACAGTTTCAGCAACAATTTTGTCAATTATCATTTTTGTGTTTTTCATAGAGGCATTCTTTAATATTGCCATGGACTCGGATATAAGTTCACGAAATGATTCCAGCATATTGAGGCATATTGTGGCATATTGTGATTTCAGAAAATAAAAGGTTCACTTATTGACATGAGTTTTTTTCTTTTTGAAGCGTCTGCTAGTTCAACTCTGCAAACTTTGGAATTTTAGTTGAGCAACCACAATCACAACCAACTCTAAACTTGTTGTAATTATTAGAATTATTATTACTCCTCATATACGTACGTATAAACCTATATATTAAATTTTATCACTTTGTTTAATTAATCAAGAATTTTATTTATTTATAAGAAACTTTTGATACAGAATGAAAATAAAACCTATCGAAAGGAATTTCGCATCTTCCTATTTAATTTACTTTTGAATCACATTATTCTAAAAGAAAAATGCGAGTCCCATATATTACATATTAGAATTAAATGATAGTTTGATTCAGTCTAAACCCTTGCTATTTAAGGATTTAGGATTTTAAATTGCTATAAAGAATTATTGGTATTGTAATATCAAAAAAATAAATTATATACATAATTTGATTTTTTTCAAGAAACACCTTGTCTCACAAATGAACTATAAAATTAAAAATAAATTTAAGACAATCATAAAACACATCTAAAAACAAGCATACTAAACAACGATTATAGTTCAATCATCTTATGCAACAGAAATGATAATGTTAATAATAACAATGTTAATGGTGGAAGGTATGCGTAATTTACCTAAAATTGAATCGATTGGCATTTTCATCAATGTAACTAACTGGCGTCTGATGTATTTATCTTTTTTTATACCAAACATACCAAAGTCTAATAATTCAATCAAGTTTTACCATCCCTTCTTTGTACAACTGCAACACATTTCCGTTCAATCAAACATTACGTGGCTATAATTGATCGATTGATTATTATAGATATAAAAATAACACATTGCCGTACGTTAATAGGCTACGAATATGTATGTATGCAAGCCTTAATCTGCACGCACTTTTTAAATTCCTTATTATATATAAAATTTCTAATCAAAGAATGCATAGAAATAATATTTGGGGCATGCTTGCAACAAAGTGAACATTAGTATTACCAAGAATTTCAGGGATCAATAGTGTTTGTTCAACATCACAATTGTATTTCTACCATGGGGACCCATGAATTATAGTAGTATCAGAAGCATTTTAAAAAAGGAACAAAGTGAAAAAAAATTGCTCCCTACACTTTCAAATAAATGATATTCAGACACTAGAAGCTTATCTAAGAGAAGAAAATATTACCTATGAAATTTACCAAGAGCAAAGAAAAATAATAAACATTAGGAAAAGAAAGCAGGATGAAAGTGTGTTATTGTCTAACAAAAAGCAAAAATTCTTAGAAGGAAAATAATCTTATTATTAGAATACTTCAATATTGATTTATTTTTTAAAGTTTAAAATCATGAAGAAAAGAAGATCATGTATCTTTCGGAGAAATACAATTTTTTATTCAAAATAAAAAAAATACTATTTAGCAAATTCATAATTACCAATGTGAATTTGAGATTCACACAAATTTGATTTTCACTCACAACACATGCATGTGTTATAACCTGAAATTATGAATTTTTTGATAGGGATCTTCATTGGAGAAGTGATTGTAACCTTTGGTTAACCAGATTTAGAAGACTTGACCTGATGAATCATTTTGAAAGTTTTTGAACATAATGCGTTGCATTCTCTATACAAGAATATTATTAGTATAAAATATCTGATAAATGCCCAAGATTCTGAAATACATGCTAAAAATGTCCCAAGGTAATTTTGGTACCATCTCCAATACATACCAAGAATGCAATATACTTGTTCATAGAGTATATCATTTTACACAAATTATAACCATAGGGATGGGAATTTTGCAACATTCTCTAAATTCGTAAATACCTTCATGATCCAATTTAGAGTATCACATTACCTCCTAAAATAGAATATGGAAAAGTGAATTTACTAATAAATTAAATTAGAGATTAATATAGATAGCCAGATATACCATGCACATACATTCCAAAGACTTTTGGATTATCTACATTTGTTGTATTAATAATTGTGTTAAGATCATCTTTTAAAATTTGCGTCAACCTAAAAAGATTCTTTGCTCTGTCTTCCAAACCCTATTGCTATGTTGAAGCATTTAAAAACTGCACCTGGTGTATGAGCAATCAATGAGCTATCAAGTTTTTTCTTTCTTTTGGCCGAATTTTTGGAGGGTGTGTTCCTAGAGTGTCAAATAATTATTTATCAATACTAAGACTAAAAAGTATAATGACAGAATTATGAATGTCAAGTACCATATAACATAGGTGTTATTAAAGATGGGAACTGCAATTAGCCGCAATTCAATTTTCATATGCCACAATTAGTTGCAACTAATTGAGGAGCCATTTTTAGGCATCATCATCAACAACATATATGTTCAAAATAGATGCTAAATGAGAAATCCAGTAGTCTGGTTCTGAGATTTTACTCCATCTCTAATGGCAAATTCTGGAGGCTTTTGAATCAAGTGTTATTAATTCTTGTAAAAAGGATAAGCCAATCCAATGACAAAAACCTTACTTACTACGTTCTAATTAGTTCAAGTAATATTCTTGTATCTCCAACAATGTTATCCTTGTTTTTACCAAAAGCTCTGGGATATAAATTTTCATCAACAACATTAATCGTTGTTCTTCTACCATATTCTTCATAAGCCTAGAATACATAAATAATATTATAATAGATAGCACAATGAAATATTCGATATGAAGGAAACCAATGCTTATTTTGACTACCTTGTTGACCATATCTTGTATCAATCGAAAATCTATATCAGATACATATGGCCATCCAAAATCAGCCCGGATGTCTCCCCAGTTTGTCACACTGATATTTGGATACATACTCATCAGATGATCCAGTATTAAAAAACAGGTGACAAAGAACTAGAAATATAGTTCTCATAAGCTACAATAAAATTCATCATTTGTTATTGCTTTAAAAAAAAAAATCCTAAACTTACAGAATGTAGTGTATACAATAACTAAAGTATGAAAGCTCTTTCTTTTGTCTTAATGACAGGGTTATTGTCTTTATCTCTTGAAATAATGATGTCACATTTTACAATTTCCTCATCATTTTTGATAGTGTACTTGTATATATGGATTGTAAAAAAAAAGGGTTAATTAATGACATGTAAATACAAAAAGAGAAGATCGATTTCTACCTAGTTTGTGAGTTATCAAAAATTCTATTTAAAAAAAAACAAAATTTCAAAATGCCAATCCCTATTGCTCGAAATTTCAATAGCAAGTAAAATTTAATTCCAACTCTTCAAAATTTCTCTTTTATACTATTACCTTAATTGTACAGTTCACATTCTCTATAACAGACTGAGAATTAATAATACAATTTGTATATCCCATATATAACGGACATTTTTTCTTAATCCAAATGGTTCGTTATAGAGAATGAACTGCATTATTAACTGTATGACCCAAGAACAAATTCCTATATAAATTTAGTTATATTATTCATAATAATAAAAAATTTATGACTTGTTTCCATAATGAATTCTAATATGCTATTAACGGTAATTAATAAACATTTTAATTATCACACTAAACAAATAAGCAGTAAATAAATATGAATATGAAATGCACATATATCTTTTCTGAAGGTACTTATGATATACGGTTGATATGTGTAAAAACCAATTACACGTATTTTATACATACTGTAGATACAGTATAACAAATTTTTTGCCAATAATTTACGAATTTATATATGCACGAATATTATGCAGAAAATACATGGGATTTTAAAAGTTGAATCTTCCCTAATGATCCTGATAAAAAATAATTTTGTTATTTACGGTGTGGGAAGATAGTTACCATTTCGTCCAACAGATATACAATGGAAGTCAGGTTATAATTCCACCTGTATTATGAATAATTTGGCTGCCATGCTTTTAGAAAACTGTCAAAACCATATATAATTTGAGAAAAGGCTTAGCCAATGGTTTGAATTTAAAATCGATAAGATTTCTATTGGAAAGTTGGTAAAACATCTATCCAGACTTGTAATCAACTACCATTCCAGATCATATTATTCCTATCTCCTTTGCAACAGAGTTGAAGTTACGCCAATTGCATCAAAAAGCCCCAAGAAAAATTGGATGTGTTTCTAGAAAAAGAGCTTGGAAAAGAGCGGTGAAAATAGATTCCTTTTTTGTATCATATACTAAGATGCTTTGAAAAAAATAATGGTGCCAGATTACTAACTTTTTACTATGCTACCTGAACATGTATATAAAAGCCGATTTATTCGTGCTGACACAAGTGAGCTGTTAAATCTTTTGAAGCTCTCTGGGGCCAAAGTCATAAGTAATTAGGATAATAAAGATTGGTGGTGGAATGAAAAATTCAATTTGCAGATGTTCATTAAGTCACATTGTAAATTTAAATATTATATAAAAACAGATGGAGTGGTACCTTTTGAAAGGAAAAATGTAGAGGAGAATAGTTGAATATTAATAGTAGATGGTCTAGTATGAAATTTTGATCCTGGAAGAAATGCATAATAGTAATCGCCTATGGATTGATAGTATAGCAATGATAGTAATAACAATAATGTTTATGACAATGGATAATATTTGTAAACGCGTAACGAAAGGGAATAAAAGAACATTAATTTCTTCTGGAAATGCGAGTTGCTTATCAGTATCCAAAGGATTTGTTTCTGCACCAGTGAAGAGTTATCGCAAAGTAATATAGGTAACTAGGCTCATGCGACCATGTTCTCATTTTTGTTCAAGCAGAAGGTAGGCATTATATCTAGAGTGTAAAGTAACTGCTTATTTTTTTTTTTACTGAAATCATGACAACTAACAAAAAATCCTAGAACGCCCCACACCCTAGAGTATTTTAATTAAAATTCCAAGAGCATTCCTTGTTTATTTATAAGGTAACAATACTATTTTTACTAAAGTATTACCAAATTTAATGTATGGCGAATCGAATTTCATACACTACGATATAAAAGTGCATCAATGTTAAAAATAAAAACAATTTTCAGAATTTGTATCAGTGTCCATCGTGTAACGAATATAACTAGACGAATTTAGCAGAAAATAACCAATTGGATTTCAACGCACAGTAACAGTGAATCTCGGGTTTAACGGATAGTTTGGGCAATTAGTATATATTAGTATTAGGGAAATTTTCGAGAAATCCGTTATATCGAGAAGGTTTTTGTTAATATTATGGACCGTTCTAGTTCTTGAACTTTATCCATTAGATCGAGATTTTTGATTATAATTATAATTAATATTGGTATCCGCTAAACCGAGGTCAATTGTGTAACAGTTATGCAAAGGCGTTTTTCTTTATTTGTAAATTTTCAAGAAATTCATTCCAAATTTGGAAATCAAATAATATTAATAAAAATCATTATTCTCCACGGACTTGTTACCTATCGGTTACGTTATCCTGCCGTTCTTTCCTAAACAGGTGAGCTAACGTAGCCGAGGTAGGCACAGTATCTATTAATAATTACGCAAGTCGATGCGCAGTACGTTTTATCAATTTGTCTCATGACTTTTGCATTTTGTATATAATAATAATGAATGGTCTGCTTATTTTCCCAATAACCTTTCCACATTTCCTTTTTTTTCCCATTCTATTTCTCATATCAAATTTAATATACTGTAAAATTAAAATAAATATAAAAAAGCCTTTCTTGTCTCAATTGTATTTTTTTTTCTTGGAGAAAGGAGAAAGAAATATATTTAAATAACATTTTTTCATTTTTTGTTTTTTTTTTGTAAATAATTAAAAACATTGTTTTATACAAATAAATAAAATCAACATGTCTTCTTCCGAGGGTTTACAAGTAGTCTTTAAAATCTCCTTTTTAGAAGAAAAAATTCTTCGCCGTGTTTCCTTTCCTCAACTTAAAGATATCACTTATTCTGCCTTACACTCAAAGGTATATATATATATTTAGATAAATATGTTAAATAACGAGCATTTTAGTTTTATCACCTGGATACATTATTAGTGAATATATTATTATTATTAATTATTATTATTATTATTATTATTATTATTATTACATTATGTTTCATAATTATTAATAATAAGTAGCGCAGCAAAAAAAGAGACTTTATATATAATTTTTTATATATTTCAAAAATATATATAATTGATTCGATATTAACGATTTTATAATATTCTATTTCTAGTTGTCAAATTTGTATAATATGACTGACTTTAGAATCAGATATAATGACGAAGAAGATGACCTTATTACGATCGATAATGAACTTGACCTACAGGAATGTTTTAGTTATTTATTGAAAATCAATAATAAAGATAGCGATAAATTGATCGTCAGGTTAACTTTATCACAAGAAAATCCACAAAAGACCAGAAAAAATGTAGAATACGTGGTAAACGATAATGGTATAAAATATATTATTTTTATAATTTATAAATAAGTATATAAATATATCAACTAATTGTTTTAATCAATGAACAATATTTTTAGATGCTAATAATTTAAATACTTCCAATTCAAATGCTTCTGATTCGAATGCTTCCGATTCGAATTCTTCCGATTCGAATGCTTCCAATAGTGTGGATACAACAGAGAATCAAGGTGAAATTGATGGATTTGGCCTAGAAAAGGTTATTAACGAGGGATTCGCCAACTTTCAAAATATAATTCAAACTATTGTTACTGACGTGAGCAACACTTTAGAAAATGATTTAAATAATCTTCATGCTACCTTACAACAGCCTTTTCAACAAGCTATCAATACTGTCAGTAATGTTGTTAAAAGCGAAAATAATAGTGATAATAATAAACATAATGAAAAACAAGGAGTTAATAATCGCTCATTACCACCATTGCCACCACAACCACCACCGCCATCATCATTACCACCACCGCCACCACCACCATCATCATCATCATCATCATCATCATCATCATCATCATCATCACCACCATCATCATCTAATAATAACATCACAGATTCTAATGAAACTGAACAAATCATTAAACAAGAACAAATCATTTCACAAGGTATTTTGGAAAGTGGAAATAATATTGATTCGATATATTTGATTTATCGTAAACTAATATTTACATGTATATAATACTTGTGATCATTATTTAATAGGTCCTGTGATTCACAATGGTGTCATTTGTGATTGTTGTGAAAAAATTATTCGTGGAATGCGCTGGAAATGTCTCACTTGTAGTAATTATGATTTATGTCAAGATTGTAAATCGAAACAACCTACAATTCACAACCATGCAAATAGTCATGAATTCAAACCTATTCCATATCCTCAAAATTATTGCTCTAGTAATTCTAAAAGTATGTTTTAATTAAATTTTATAATAATGATGATTATTCATTTGTTTTAATTGTAAATTAATACCATCATATAACCATAATTTATAGGAATCACAGCTAGTTTACATTCAGCAGTTTGTGATTTCTGTGAATCACAAATTTATGGAACTAGACATAAATGTATCAATTGTCCAGATTTCGACTTGTGTAATGGTTGTATTTGTAAGTAAAATTTTATATTAAAATTAAATTGTATATGTACTTTGCATTTATTTATTCTTTCTTTCCTTTTTTTTCCAGCACTTGCACCAACTCAACATCCTAATCATACATTTATGCCAATTTATCGTCCTGGTGAGCCTGAAATTAAAATATTTGATGCAGTGTCTCATCCTGGAATCAGATGTGATGGTTGTGAAAAATTGATAATTGGAGTAAGATTTAAGGTATATTACGGTCTTTTCCCCCCCCCGAAAAAAAAACATTATCATCATAATATTACGATTATGTGAATTAAATGAGAACTGATTATTAATCGATATCAATATTTTAGTGCGCAAATTGTCCCAATTTTGATTTTTGCGGAAACTGTGAAGCATCACCACTTAACACACATGACATTACACACATCTTCTTGAAAGTCAAGTTCCCCGTTTCTATCCCAATTCCATCAAGCTATCCACTACTTTCAAATTATTATGTTCGTAGAGAATCAAAGATTAATGCTACAGTCAATGGATTGATAGGAAAACAAGAATATCCTAAAGAAAAGAAATCTCCATCAATCAACAATGATACTGATGCTAGCGAAGATTCCAGCCTTAACCAACCTGCTATTGTACAACCAAGTATTAAAGTGTTAGTATATGTATTAAGTGAATATTATATAATAATGATGATAAAACTTGAATTAATATATATATATTTTTTTAATTTGAATTTCTCGCAAAGTGAAAGTCATGCACCCATAGATTTATATAAACATTCATTATTACCATCCATTCCGTCCACGCCATTAACCCAAACTCTCCAACATGAAATACTCAATCCGTATACCCTCGGTTCAAATCAGATCGATAATTCAAATTCGATTTTTTCGGGACATGTAGAAGCCCCCTTAAAAAGGCATGAAAATTCGTTACTCAAAACTAAATTAGAGTCTCGGTTTGTTGAAGACGTTAACTTTCCTGACGGTACTACACTTGTTCCACGTGCCCAATTTATTAAAAAATGGAGAATGGAGAATGTTGGCAATGTTGCCGTAAGTAAAATCTTTTTTTTTTAAATAAATGAATAAATAAAATCAGATTTTGTTTGACGAAATCATCCATAATATTAAATTAGTGGCCAGAATCAACAGTTTTGACTTTCGTCGGTGGTGCTGAAATGTTTGGTGACAATTATTCCTCTAAAAATAATAATGGATTTTATGTTGGTCTTGTTAATGTTGGAGAAATTAAAGAAGTTTTTGCAGAACTTCAAGCACCATCTGAATCTGGAGAATACATATCGTAAGTATGAATGATAAATAATAATAAACAATTATTATTGTGCCAAACTCACATTTATATACATATGCATATTATAGATATTGGAGATTGGTTGATGGTGAGGGAAATAAATTCGGTCATCGATTATGGTGTTCAATTAACGTTGAAGATGATGATTCAAACATGACTGCTTCATCAATGATTTTCCCCGTAATGAAAAATGAACAAGTACCTGATGTTAAACAAGAAGATAATATCGTTAATTCAATAGTTGGAAAATTTTTTGATAAGGAAAAATTAGAAAAATCTCTTGAAGCTATTTCATCTCAGTCAGATAGCAATAATAACAATAAAGAAAATGAGAATAATAACGAAACTGAGGCTACTTCTGAATTTTATTATGATGACTCTGATATTGAATCTGATATTTCGTCTCTTTCAAGTCTTGAAAATTCGCAAGATTATTATTTTGTAGAAAAAGACGAACATTTGTCAGAAGAAAATGATCAAAAAGAAGCTGCCAAAGAAAAGATTGTTAAAGAAGTCGTTTTTGAAGCCGATAACCTCGTGAGTGATGATGACGACATTGAAAGTGACGATGATAAAGAAGATTCAAAAGACGAAACAGAAAATCAATCCGAGGTGAGACCTTTAGTGGAACCTATAAATAATTGTTTCATTTCTAGTAATGAAGAAACTACTGTAATTACACCAACCATTATTAATATTAATGATGATGTTAACTCAGAAATCAGTCGACCAATAAGCTTCTTCGCCGAAAAAGAATTCTTGAAAGAAATGGTAAAAAAAATAATAATTGTTGTTATTAGACTAAACTAAAAAATATTTATTGACGTTATTTATTATGTAGGGAATTTTAAATGATGAAAATGTTGAATTCGTAGATGATCTTTTGACCAAAAACAATGGTGATGTTAACACAGTTGCTAACATTCTTTTTGGATGATTTTCTTTGCTTTTTTTTCTAAAATTCATTTTTTTATTCTTTTAAATATATTTATTATAAAATAAATTATTGCCTTATTTATATTCTGATTAATATCATTTATATGTTATCTATATTTTGAACTTTTTGATTTTCTTACAAGCAAATAAAACATTCGATTAAAAATTATAAAAACTGTAAATTTTGAAAGTCTTTATTTTTATATTGAAAATTTGCAATACATAATTTACTAAAATAGAACCAATCTTCAAAATACCAGTTGCTCGTCCTAATAATAATATAAATCGTTAGTTGATTCTAAGCAAACAAAAAACACAATGATAATAGATATATTTACATATTCTTTAACTTTTTCAAGACATTTTTTAAAATGTTTTTCATATTCAGCATCTTTTTTTTTGTCAGGCAAAATCATTACCACGCTAGTTGGACGTTTTGTAGTACATGAGAATCCAAGATCTGATCTTGATGGAATAAAAATATACGGCACTTCTTTTTCTTCACAAAAAACTGGTATATGTGAAATTACATCTATGGGTGATACATTACCTGCCATCACCACAAGACTAAATGATGATGATGATCAAGTGAATATGGAGGTAATATGTATATGTATATGTTTGTATATATATATATTCTATTAATTTTATTTACCCTTTTTGCTCTTTACGTAAAGCTTTTATAACTTCTTTTACACCACGTTTACATTGTCTACTATTTGAAGCTTTTTGTAAAAAAAAAAAACTGCTATTTAAGCAAATAATCAATCAAAAATATTTTTCAATATATAGAAAAATCTTTTTATAGATACCTTTTCTTATAGTTTGCATCAATTGTAAAGTAAATTCTTGAGAAGCTAATGGTATGGCAAATGGGATAAGACCATTTAAATCATAATGGACAATCATTTTTTTTTTTTCATTTTCCTCTTCAACTGTCTTTTCAATTTCCATTTGTTCTTCTTCCTTTGTTTCTTTACTACTACTACTATGTTTCGTTGATTTTTTGTCTTTTTTATCTTTTTTATCCTTTTTGTCTTTTTTATCTTCAACTGCCATTTCTATTTCCAATTGTTCTTCTGGCTTTATTTCTTTATTACTACTAATTGTTGAAGCCTCTTTATCACGTTTAGTCGATTTTTTATCTTTTTTATCTTTTTTATCTTCAATTACCATTTCCAATATTTCTTTACTGGTTGTTGAAGCCTCTTTATCATGTTTGGTTGATTTTTTATCTTTCTTTACTTTTGATTCTTTCTTTCCCTTCGTTTCCTTTAGTTCTTTCTTTTCTTTTTTAATTTTTGATTCTTTTTTTTCTTTAGGCATTTTTATTTTTTAGATGAAATTTCTAAGATTGTTCGGGGCCCCCTCCTCTATCATTATTATGTCAGGACCCCGGATTGTCATAATTGAGGTAGGGTCTCTATTCGTAATACGCACTAAAAGTATTTTTATTCAATTTATCCGCTTTATTCGAATATTATTATTATTACTACTATTACTATTACTATTATTCGTTTTATTTGTTTTATCCGTTTTATAAAATGTAGGTCTTATTTCTTTAACAAGATAATATAAGTTACAATAATAATATTTATAATCTACACTACTACTACTATGTTATGATTTATGAAAAGAAAAGAAAAATGCCAACTACCTACCAGTGTTGGCAAATGACCAGTCATATGACATATGACTTTGATGACTGGTCATAAGTCATTTGGTCATTTTATCCAATTCAATGACCTAGCACAAGGTCATATAAAATTAAGCAACATGATTGGAGCAGATCAAAAATGGAAATATTTTTATTTAAAAATCCTAAACTAATAGAATGTTTTGGAATTCAATAAGCACCAGTAAAAATAACATCACTACCCAGAAAAGTTGGTGACTCCAATTCATCAATAAAAAGGGATTCTAATGACCATTTCATCAAATGGGACTGTCTACAGCAAAAACCACCTCCGAGGTAAATAACTCATTTTGTGTAAATACAAAATCAAAATTTGTTACACAGAAAAAGGAAAATTGACCCCCGAAAATTTGATCTAATTTTAAAAACTCATTTATCCAAATTTAGAAATAAATTAATTATCTGAAAAAATTCATTTAAATAAAAACTTTTTGCTTTAAGCTGAATAAATTTCATAAATCAAATAAAATATTTATTAAATCAATATTATTATATCTCAAAATACAATTTAAAAACATGTCTTTAATTGATTTAACACCAGAATACAATTTATTAGAAGATTATGAACAAAATGATTTAGTAATTAGTGTAATTGATGATTTAAAATTATTTTTCCAAAGCTCAAAATGTAGTTGTCGTAAAACATCAGAAGATTTACAAAATTGCTTTGAAAAAATAGGCTTTAAAAATTTTTTTGAAAGATATTTTGAATTTAAAAGTCTAAATAAAAAAGAAAAAGATCTTTCTATCAAAACACAATTGATGGTATTTCAACACAAAACTGAAAATTCAATTATTAATTACAAATATAAATATAATGAAACAATACCCATTTGTCAACCTGTATTTTTAAAATTATGTGATATTAAGATAGATGTACTAAAAGCTTTGCAAAGACATTTAAAAACAAATGGTTTAGATGATTGTCAACATGGCAATATAAAAATATCCCATAAGTTTTAATTCCATACACAATGTATGTTATTATTCTGGTGAAAAGAAACCTATAAATATGTACTTACATCAAGGTTGGGTGACGAAAATATTTTGGAGTGTAAAAAGTATTTCGTCAAATTGTGATAGATGATGAAAATCTAAAATTCAATTTTATTTAGATTTAATTAAAACAAAAATTTAATTTTAAACTTTTTTTACATCATAAATCTTGTTTCTTGGTTGAATACTTAATTTTGTATGCAAAATTTTAGTAGAAATTCTTGCTTCACATCTATTGCTTGTTTCATAACTTTCTTCAAAATCTGTATAATCATCTGATAATTCTGATTGTTGAAATGATTCTTCATTTACTATTTTAATGGAGTGTAACCATACATCAAACATAGGACGTCTTGCAGCTAATTATTGATTATTGTTAAATGAACTTTCAGGTATATTATCTAATTTTAATGATGATTGAGAAAGGATTGGTGAATTGGGTGAATTAGAATTTGACATTATGAATTTTATTTTTATAAATTTACTCCATAATTTAATATCTACAAAATAATTGTTTTATTTCATTGTTTGTTGATTTCGTCACTTTTGTTGTTTCGTCATTTCGTCACTTTTGTCATTTTGTCATTTTGTCACTTTTGTCAAATTCCTCAAAGTGTAGAAATCCTGGTAAAATTTTAAATAAACATATTATAAAACAAAAATGCATGATTCTGAGCCTAGAATGTCTTACAATCAGTGTTGTGACCCGAAACTCTGAGTTTAGGGAAAACCAGAAACAGAAACTAACAGAAACCACCCGAAACTAGTTTAGGTTAGTAGTTTATGTTTATGTTTAGGTTTAGGTTTAGTTTTCTGCTTAGTGTAAGTTCATTTTCCGAAACGTTTCGGGAAGCCAAAAGAGTTTTTGGTCACAACACTGCTTAAAATAAATGAATTTTTGTTCTCATGTAGAATGGTGTGCGTGATTTGTAACACAAAAAGCAAAAGCTTGCATTACATTCTCAGTTGTGAGCTTGTTTTGTTACACACTGTATATATTTGATCATTATAGAATAACATACACTCTTGGACTTAATACCCTGGCACAGACAGCATTCATATTCCAATTTTTTACAAAAATATAATTACATTACCCAAAATTTTGTATGACTTCCTTCCCTCTATTATTGTTTGGTTGATTTTTTATCTTTCTTTACTTTTGATTCTTTCTTTCCCTTCGTTTCCTTTAGTTCTTTCTTTTCTTTTTTAATTTTTGATTCTTTTTTTTCTTTAGGCATTTTTATTTTTTAGATGAAATTTCTAAGATTGTTCGGGGCCCCCTCCTCTATCATTATTATGTCAGGACCCCGGATTGTCATAATTGAGGTAGGGTCTCTATTCGTAATACGCACTAAAAGTATTTTTATTCAATTTATCCGCTTTATTCGAATATTATTATTATTACTACTATTACTATTACTATTATTCGTTTTATTTGTTTTATCCGTTTTATAAAATGTAGGTCTTATTTCTTTAACAAGATAATATAAGTTACAATAATAATATTTATAATCTACACTACTACTACTATGTTATGATTTATGAAAAGAAAAGAAAAATGCCAACTACCTACCAGTGTTGGCAAATGACCAGTCATATGACATATGACTTTGATGACTGGTCATAAGTCATTTGGTCATTTTATCCAATTCAATGACCTAGCACAAGGTCATATAAAATTAAGCAACATGATTGGAGCAGATCAAAAATGGAAATATTTTTATTTAAAAATCCTAAACTAATAGAATGTTTTGGAATTCAATAAGCACCAGTAAAAATAACATCACTACCCAGAAAAGTTGGTGACTCCAATTCATCAATAAAAAGGGATTCTAATGACCATTTCATCAAATGGGACTGTCTACAGCAAAAACCACCTCCGAGGTAAATAACTCATTTTGTGTAAATACAAAATCAAAATTTGTTACACAGAAAAAGGAAAATTGACCCCCGAAAATTTGATCTATTTTAAAAACTCATTTATCCAAATTTAGAAATAAATAAATTATCTGAAAAAAATAAAAACTTTTTGCTTTAAGCTGAATAAATTTTATAAATCAAATAAAAAATTTATTAAATCAACATTATTATATCTCAAAATACAATTTAAAAACATGTCTTTAATTGATTTAACACCAGAATACAATTTATTAGAAGATT